TATCGGATTCAAACACCACAGCTACTCCAGAACTTGCATCTCCTTGTCCAACAACCATGAATGGTTTTCCTTTTCCTACTAATGGTCTATGGACCGTCTGACTCGTCTCCGTGAGGATAGCCAAGTCGACAGAATGCTTTTCGATAAGCTTTCGCACTTTCGCGGACTTTGCGTCGTTGAAGCGACGAACGTTTATTGTAGCAACTGTGACATTGGCTGGTCGTCCTTGGTTTGAGGGTGATGCACGTTTTACGGTGCTCATCTTCCTCTCTTTGATGACCTTCTGGAGTTCGGCTTCTATCTCCGGTTTCCCTTTTGATAGAAGCTGGATTCCAGCCTCGATCGTCGCTTGGATGTACCTTGCTCCGATCATCGTTCTTTCGAACTTGAGCATCTGGATACGAGTCTTGATCTGCTTCAGCAGGGGACTCGTCGGTGAGCTTCTCCTTCTTCCCCATCCCGTCTCGCGTACGGGTTGGGATCCTCCGGTGTTCTGTCCACCGTTGCAAAGAAAGCCCTCGTTTGTTGTTCCTGTTCGAGGGGGACCACAATCTCCACCGTATTGTGGTACGGAAGAGGATTGTGATCGGGACGATCTGTTTTCTCCTTGAGAATCGTCCTCCATTCTGTTGCATTCACCTTGGTTCTTGCTGCCATGCGACTGAATCGCAGGACAGCAATCTTGTGGTGCTGTGGTGGCTGAGGGTTCACCGTCAGCTTCTTTGTGAGAACTTTGGACGCAAGGGTCACCGGTTGTACTTCTTGCACTTCTTCCTGGGGAGGAAGTTGCGCAATCTCGATGGTGTCCGCCTTGCGTCCCACTGGTTTTCTGGCGGCAACCTGGCTGTAGGAGAGCTTTGTTGGTGCCGCCTTGGAGTTTACCGGTGTCGTCGCTGGATGGAATTGTAGTGGTTGTGGTTGCTTTTGTTGTTTTGGCTGTGGTTGCTGTCGTTGCGGTTGTTGTTGTTGTGGTTGTTGTGGTTGTGGTTGTTGTGGTTGTGGTTGTTGTGGTTGTGGTTGTTGTAGTTGCTCTGGTTTGTTGTGGTGCAGTTCTTTCAAGCAGTGTCTTTAAGGCCTCTGTTGTTTTCCATCAGAACTCTAGAGTTCTCTTCCTGAACTTTAGCGTTGTGGATTAGGATCTCGATGACTCGAGACAGAGCGTCTTTGACCGTGAGGTCTGGAATCCTGCTTGTGAGTTCGCTGGCCTCCTCTGCCAGCATGTCAACGACATCCCTGCGCTGTCGTTTATTGGTTTTCGGTTTCACCGGTTCATCCAGACTAATCAATGGGGTCTTCGGGTGTGAACAGGCGGTTTCTTCTTGTCTGAAACAAGGGACAGGGGGGGTTTGGGCCGAAGCCAATTTGACCCTCAAGGGGGTTTGCTACTGTTTTTTGGGACGCTCATCGTGGGGGGGATGATCCACGATGGGGAGGAGGCGTCTTCCTTCGCTGCGAAGGGGTTGGAGGAGGGGGGAGGGGGGGATGAGGAGGAGGGGGGCGAGGATGAGGAGGAGGGGGTGGTTGATGTTGAGGAGGGGGTGATTGATGTTGAGGATGAGGGGAGCGGGTCCACCTTCATCCTGGTTGATGTTGTAGTGCCTAGGGGGGGGAACAAGAGGAGCTGATGAGGAGCGGGTAGTGGGGGAGGGGTTTTGGGACTTCCCCATCGTGACAGGTCCGCTGGAGGGGCCTGTTTCGCTTGTATTTCCTCGAATTGCTGAAAACACCGGGAAAGTCCAGGTGGTTCTTTTTGCTGCTAAGCCCAGTAAATTGGCCGGTAGTCGATTATGTAGTAATAGCGAGAAAAGCAGAGGGGGTGATTGATGTTGAGGATGAGGGGAGCGGGTCCACCTTCATCCTGGTTGATGTTGTAGTGCCTAGGGGGGGAACAAGAGGAGCTGATGAGGAGCGGGTAGTGGGGGAGGGGTTTTGGGACTTCCCCATCGTGACAGGTCCGCTGGAGGGGCCTGTTTCGCTTGTATTTCCTCGAATTGCTGAAAACACCGGGAAAGTCCAGGTGGTTCTTTTTGCTGCTAAGCCCAGTAAATTGGCCGTAGTCGATTATGTAGTATAGCGAGAAAAGCAGATCGAAATGTCGGGTAGTCTTCGAGAGCCAAAAAATTTTTTAGACTTCTCGATTTGAGCGTGTTTTCAGTTTCTCCCTTGCGGGGGCGGGGTTCTGGTTGTTCACATCATGTAAATAAAAAGTGTAGGCACACATTGCATATACTCTGTACTATCTGTACTATGTACTATCTAAGCTAGATGAGATGTATCTATATGATTAAAAAAAGGGGTACTTGTGATCAAAATTGTTGCACCTATGGCTGTGAGCTGGAGCTTTGACGGTTGGGGTTTCCTTGGCACTGTCTTTCATGGTTCTGGATGGCATACTTGCTGTAGTGGTTGACGCAGTATGAGCACTTTATGTAGTCCCGCTGTCTTCAGAGGGTCGATGCACAGGTGCCTTGAGAAGCCTCTGCTGTTCAGCTTGCGGTGGCAGATCGTACAGTCCACCAGAAGTTCTTCTTCTGGTCCGAGGCTGTGGTTCTTCATTCGATGAAGGTTCCTCGTTTGTCGGATTTCTGATCTGGACGGGTGGGTCACAAAAGTGACCCATGCCACATCCGTTGCTCCTGAAGGTCACTAATGACCTTCCTGCCGCTCGCGGATCTGTTGTTGTGTTTGGGGCAAAGGTAAATCTCCGTTCCCAAGATGTTGGCAGAGATCTTCGATTGCGGTATCTTCCGAACGACCTTCTTCTTTTTCGTTTCGCGTGTCGTAAGGTCGATCGGAAGGGTTCCAGCGTCCTGATTACTACTTTCAGACTCGGTGGCCTGGGCCTCCTCCTCTGAGAGTTCGAAATCAGTGCCATTCCAAATGGCCTCTGCCGCACCGAGCGCTGCAGCTGCACTGAGATTGGTGTTGTCAAGAATCGCCCTCCATCAGTGCATTCTGTAGCCTCCTAGCTTGATCACTGTCAAACTTCACAACGTGTCTGCCCGTGGTGACATGGGTGGCCACCATGGCTTGAAGCACGTTGATCATTGGTTTGGTAGCAATCCTGATTGAGTTCGTGCGGCAGACACGCTTGACCCGTGTCCGAAGCTTGCTTCGCTTTCTTGACCCGGCTTGCTGCTTCCCTCTCCCAGGTGAGGTTCGTCGTCAAGATGACTCCGAGCCACTCCACTGGGTGAGGTGCCCCATCCACATCAAACTGTTGTGTGGCTTCTTTCTGGTCGTTGAGGATCAGGTTTGCTTCTAGAAGCGCTTCCTTGATCGCTCTCTTGACTACTTGTGTTTCAATCTTCGTTTTCCCAATGATAATCAGGTCATCCGCATAGGAAAATGAGCGCATGTTTACCATTGGGGAGTATTTCTTCGACTTTCTCGTGCACTTCAGCCCATCACGAGGTTCCACAAGATTCCACTCAGAGTGCAGCCTTGTCGAATACCATTCGTGTGGTTGAAGGGACGAGCAGCCTTTCCATTAAGCTCCACGAAGACCTCACACCCGTCATATTGTGCAATGATGAGTTCGGCTTCATTCCGGGGAAGTCCCCCATCTGTGAAGCGCGCGCTCAAGTGCGACCCCTCGAGACTCTGTCAAACGCCTTAGACATGTCTAAAAAACGTGACAGAACACTTCCCCCTTGAGGCAACCTGGCTTACAAGTTCTCCCAAGGCTGTCCAGTGTGATCTCCCTGACCGGTACGCGTGTTGAGCGTCATGAACTACCATCTCGTAGGTGAACTTGTTTCTTTCAGCTAGGATTCTGTTAAGAATCTTCGCTGATGTCGCAAGACACGTTACGGGACGGGCTCCTTGCGGAGTCGTTCTTGGGTTCTTTTTGAGGATTGGTTTTCACCCGCATGTCCTTCCATTCGCCGCGGTACCGTTTTCCGGAGTGTTCCAGAGAGCTTTGAATAGATCTGTATAGATATTCGCAGCTTCTGGAGACTCCTTCACCAGGGTCGCTTGTATCTTGTCCCTCCCCAGCGCGGTGTCTTTCTTAATCTCCTTCACCGCGATCTCCACTTCTTCAAGTGTTGGGGGTTGAGACCGGATACTGTTGGCGGTGTAGTGAACCGTGTAAGGGTCCGCCTCACTCCAGACAGTCCTGAGATAACTTGCACAGCTTTCTACTGCTTCCTCCGGGCCAAGTGGGTTGTCTTGGTCGTCAGTGATTGTCAGCGGTTGGCGTGTGCTCATCTCGTCGTCGTGCAGCGCTTTCCAGAACCGGCGTAGTGGGTTCTCGTCATTGCCATTCTGTTGTTGTTGTGGTAGTTGTTTGAGTCTTTGCTTTGCAGCATCCCACAGATATTCCATCGAGCTTCTGGGGAGCTGAGGGCTTATGGTATGGGCGACCCTTGTTTCTGTCGATATCGCAAAGTATCACCTTTGTGATAAGGGACCGCATGGTCAGATAGGTTGTCTTCCCAATCCAAAAAGCTCTCAGCTGTGAAATCCCCTCTCGACTGCACCAGGCATCGGTCCAGTGTTCTCGTCGGCCGAGTTTGATCTTGCTGATTTCCATGTTGGAGGAGACGGGACGATCTTGAGGTTGCTGAGCTGTATTGCCTCTTGCAACCTCTCGTAGTTGGACGGGCCGTCTTCTCGCTTCCCGCCGATCTGCTTCTCGTGTCCCGCGTTCCAAGTCACCGATGAAGATCGTAGCAGCGTGTTGCTGCGTTGATGCTTCAACGATGGCCTTGATCTCGCTCCAAAACTTGATCTTCTCGTATCCAGGTGCTTGCTCAGTCGGTCCATAGCCACCAACAACGTTCACACCATTTGGAAGAAGGATTTGGAGAATGCGAGTCTTTTGTAGTTGTGGGCCGTCAACCTTATCGGATTCAAACACCACAGCTACTCCAGAACTTGCATCTCCTTGTCCAACAACCATGAATGGTTTTCCTTTTCCTACTAGTGGTCTATGGACCGTCTGACTCGTCTCCGTGAGGATAGCCAAGTCGACAGAATGCTTTTTGATAAGCTTTCGCACTTTCGCGGACTTTGCGTCGTTGAAGCGACGAACGTTTATTGTAGCAACTGTGACATTGGCTGGTCGTCTTGGTTTGAGGGTGATGCACGTTTTACGGTGCTCATCTTCCTCTCCTTGATGACCTTCTGGAGTTCGGCTTCTATCTCCGGTTTCCCTTTTGATAGAAGCTGGATTCCAGCCTCGATCGTCGCTTGGATGTACCTTGCTCCGATCATCGTTCTTTCGAACTTGAGCATCTGGATACGAGTCTTGATCTGCTTCAGCAGGGACTCGTCGGTGAGCTTCTCCTTCTTCCCATCCCGTCCTCGCGTACGGGTTGGGATCCTCCGGTGTTCTGTCCACCGTTGCAAAGAAAGCCCCTCGTTTGTTGTTCCTGTTCGAGGGGAACCACAATCTCCACCGTATTGTGGTACGGGAAGAGGATTGTGATCGGGACGATCTGTTTCTCCTTGAGAATCGTCCTCCATTCTGTTGCATTCACCTTGGTTCTTGCTGCCATGCGACTGAATCGCAGGACAGCAATCTTGTGGTGCTGTGGTGGCTGAGGGTTCACCGTCAGCTTCTTTGTGAGAACTTTTGACGCAAGGGTCACCGGTTGTACTTCTTGCACTTCTTCCTGGGGAGGAAGTTGCGCAATCTCGATGGTGTCCGCCTTGCGTCCCACTGGTTTTCTGGCGGCAACCTGGCTGTAGGAGAGCTTTGTTGGTGCCGCCTTGGAGTTTACCGGTGTCGTCGCTGGATGGAATTGTAGTGGTTGTGGTTGCTTTTGTTGTTTTGGTTGTGGTTGCTGTCGTTGCGGTTGTGGTTGTTGTCGTTGTGGTTGTTGTTGTTGTGGTTGTTGTAGTTGCTCTGGTTGTTGTGGTGCAGTTCTTTCAAGCAGTGTCTTTAAGGCTCTGTTGTTTTCCATCAGAACTCTAGAGTTCTCTTCCTGAACTTTAGCGTTGTGGATTAGGATCTCGATGACTCGAGACAGAGCGTCTTTGACCGTGAGGTCTGGAATCCTGCTTGTGAGTTCGCTGGCCTCCTCTGCCAGCATGTCAACGACATCCCTGCGCTGTCGTTTATTGGTTTTCGGTTTCACCGGTTCATCCAGGCTAATCAATGGGGTCTTCGGTGGTGAACAGCGGTTTCTTCTTGTCTGAAACAAGGACAGGGGGGGGTTTGGGCCGAAGCCAATTTGACCCTCAAGGGGTTTGCTACTGTTTTTGGGACGCTCATCGTGGGGGGGGATGATCCACGATGGGGAGGAGGCGTCTTCCTTCGCTGCGAAGGGGTTGGAGGAGGGGGGAGGGGGGGATGAGGAGGAGGGGGGGGCGAGGATGAGGAGGAGGGGGGTGGTTGATGTTGAGGAGGGGGTGATTGATGTTGAGGATGAGGGAGCGAGTCCACCTTCATCCTGGTTGATGTTGTAGTGCCTAGGGGGGGAACAAGAGGAGCTGATGAGGAGCGGGTAGTGGGGGAGGGGGTTTTGGGACTTCCCCATCGTGACAGGTCCGCTGGAGGGGCCTGTTTCGCTTGTATTTCCTCGAATTGCTGAAAACACCGGGAAAGTCCAGGTGGTTCTTTTTTGCTGCTAAGCCCAGTAAATTGGCCGTAGTCGATTATGTAGTATAGCGAGAAAAGCAGATCGAAATGTCGGGTAGTCTTCGAGAGCCAAAAAATTTTTTAGACTTCTCGATTTGAGCGTGTTTTCAGTTTCTCCCTTGCGGGGCGGGTTCTGGTTGTTCACATCATGTAAATAAAAGGTGTAGGCACACATTGCATATACTCTGTACTATCTGTACTATGTACTATCTAAGCTAGATGAGATGTATCTATATGATTAAAAAAAAGGGGTACTTGTGATCAAAATTGTTGCACCTATGGCTGTGAGCTGGAGCTTTGACGGTTGGGGTTTCCTTGGCACTGTCTTTCATGGTTCTGGATGGCATACTTGCTGTAGTGGTTGACGCAGTATGAGCACTTTATGTAGTTCCGCTGTCTTCAGAGGGGTCGATTGCACAGGTGCCTTGAGAAGCCTCTGCTGTTCAGCTTGCGGTGGCAGATCGTACAGTCCACCAGAAGTTCTTCTTCTGGTCCGAGGCTGTGGTTCTTCATTCGATGAAGGTTCCTCGTTGTCGGATTTCTGATCTGGACGGGTGGGTCACAAAAGTGACACCACATCCGTTGCTCCTGAAGGTCACTAATGACCTTCTGCCGCTCGCGGATCTGTTGTTGTGTTGGGGCAAGGTAAATCTCCGTTCCCAAGATGTTGGCAGAGATCTTCGACTGCGGTATCTTCCGAACGACCTTCTTCTTTTTCGTTTCGCGTGTCGTAAGGTCGATCGGAAGGGTTCCAGCGTCCTGATTACTACTTTCAGACTCGGTGGCCTGGGCCTCCTCCTCTGAGAGTTCGAAATCAGTGCCATTCCAAATGGCCTCTGCCGCACCGAGCGCTGCAGCTGCACTGAGATTGGTGTTGTCAAGAATCGCCTCCATCAGTGCATTCTGTAGCCTCCTAGCTTGATCACTGTCAAACTTCACAACGTGTCTGCCCGTGGTGACATGGGTGGCCACCATGGCTTGAAGCACGTTGATCATTGGTTTGGTAGCAATCCTGATTGAGGTTCGTGCGGCAGACACGCTTGACCGTGTCCGAAGCTTGCTTCGCTTTCTTGACCCGGCTTGCTGCTTCCTCCTCCCCAGGTGAGGTTCGTCGTCAAGATGACTCCGAGCCACTCCACTGGGTGAGGTGCCCCATCCACATCAAACTGTTGTGTGGCTTCTTTCTGGTCGTTGAGGATCAGGTTTGCTTCTAGAAGCGCTTCCTTGATCGCTCTCTTGACTACTTGTGTTTCGATCTTCGTTTTCCCAATGATAATCAGGTCATCCGCATAGGAAATGAGCGCATGTTTACCATTGGGAGTATTTCTTCGACTTTCTCGTGCACTTCAGCCATCACGAGGTTCCACAAGATTCCACTCAGAGTGCAGCCTTGTCGAATTCCATTCGTGTGGTTGAAGGGACGAGCAGCCTTTCCATTAAGCTCCACGAAGACCTCACACCCGTCATATTGTGCAATGATGAGTTCGGCTTCATTCCGGGGAAGTCCCCATCTGTGAAGCGCGCGCTCAAGTGCGACCCTCGAGACTCTGTCAAACGCCTTAGACATGTCTAAAAACGTGACAGAACACTTCCCCCCTTGAGGCAACCTGGCTTACAAGTTCTCCCAAGGCTGTCCAGTGTGATCTCCCTGACCGGTACGCGTGTTGAGCGTCATGAACTACCATCTCGTAGGTGAACTTGTTTCTTTCAGCTAGGATTCTGTTAAGAATCTTCGCTGATGTCGCAAGACACGTTACGGGACGGGCTCCTTGCGGAGTCGTTCTTGGGTTCTTTTTGAGGATTGGTTTCACCCGCATGTCCTTCCATTCGCGCGGTACCGTTTCCGGAGTGTTCCAGAGAGCTTTGAATAGATCTGTATAGATATTCGCAGCTTCTGGAGACTCCTTCACCAGGGTCGCTTGTATCTTGTCCCTCCCCAGCGCGGTGTCTTTCTTAATCTCCTTCACCGCGATCTCCACTTCTTCAAGTGTTGGGGGTTGAGACCGGATACTGTTGGCGGTGTAGTGAACCGTTGTAAGGGTCCGCCTCACTCCAGACAGTCCTGAGATAACTTGCACAGCTTTCTACTGCTTCCTCCGGGCCAAGTGGGTTGTCTTGGTCGTCAGTGATTGTCAGCGGTTGGCGTGTGCTCATCTCGTCGTCGTGCAGCGCTTTCCAGAACCGGCGTAGTGGGTTCTCGTCATTGCCATTCTGTTGTTGTTGTGGTAGTTGTTTGAGTCTTTGCTTTGCAGCATCCCACAGATATTCCATCGAGCTTCTGGGGAGCTGAGGCTTATGGTATGGGCGACCCTTGTTTCTGTCGATATCGCAAAGTATCACCTTTGTGATAAGGACCGCATGGTCAGATAGGTTGTCTTCCCAATCCAAAAAGCTCTCAGCTGTGAAATCCCCTCTCGACTGGCACCAGGCATCGGTCCAGTGTTCTCGTCGGCCGAGTTGATCTTGCTGATTTCCATGTTGGAGGAGACGGACGATCTTGAGGTTGCTGAGCTGTATTGCCTCTTGCAACCTCTCGTAGTTGGACGGGCCGTCTTCTCGCTTCCCGCCGATCTGCTTCTCGTGTCCCGCGTTCAAGTCACCGATGAAGATCGTAGCAGCGTGTTGCTGCGTTGATGCTTCAACGATGGCCTTGATCTCGCTCCAAAACTTGATCTTCTCGTATCCAGGTGCTTGCTCAGTCGGTCCATAGCCACCAACAACGTTCACACCATTTGGAAGAAGGATTTGGAGAATGCGAGTCTTTTGTAGTTGTGGGCCGTCAACCTTATCGGATTCAAACACCACAGCTACTCCAGAACTTGCATCTCCTTGTCCAACAACCATGAATGGTTTTCCTTTTCCTACTAGTGGTCTATGGACCGTCTGACTCGTCTCCGTGAGGATAGCCAAGTCGACAGAATGCTTTTCGATAAGCTTTCGCACTTTCGCGGACTTTGCGTCGTTGAAGCGACGAACGTTTATTGTAGCAACTGTGACATTGGCTGGTCGTCTTGGTTTGAGGGTGATGCACGTTTTACGGTGCTCATCTTCCTCTCCTTGATGACCTTCTGGAGTTCGGCTTCTATCTCCGGTTTCCCTTTTGATAGAAGCTGGATTCCAGCCTCGATCGTCGCTTGGATGTACCCTTGCTCCGATCATCGTTCTTTCGAACTTGAGCATCTGGATACGAGTCTTGATCTGCTTCAGCAGGGACTCGTCGGTGAGCTTCTCCTTCTTCCCATCCCGTCTCGCGTACGGGTTGGGATCCTCCGGTGTTCTGTCCACCGTTGCAAAGAAAGCCCTCGTTTGTTGTTCCTGTTCGAGGGGAACCACAATCTCCACCGTATTGTGGTACGGGAAGAGGATTGTGATCGGGACGATCTGTTTCTCCTTGAGAATCGTCCTCCATTCTGTTGCATTCACCTTGGTTCTTGCTGCCATGCGACTGAATCGCAGGACAGCAATCTTGTGGTGCTGTGGTGGCTGAGGGTTCACCGTCAGCTTCTTTGTGAGAACTTTTGACGCAAGGGTCACCGGTTGTACTTCTTGCACTTCTTCCTGGGGAGGAAGTTGCGCAATCTCGATGGTGTCCGCCTTGCGTCCCACTGGTTTTCTGGCGGCAACCTGGCTGTAGGAGAGCTTTGTTGGTGCCGCCTTGGAGTTTACCGGTGTCGTCGCTGGATGGAATTGTAGTGGTTGTGGTTGCTTTTGTTGTTTTGGTTGTGGTTGCTGTCGTTGCGGTTGTGGTTGTTGTCGTTGTGGTTGTTGTCGTTGTGGTTGTTGTCGTTGTGGTTGTTGTAGTTGCTCTGGTTGTTGTAGTTGCTCTGGTTGTTGTGGTGCAGTTCTTTCAAGCAGTGTCTTTAAGGCTCTGTTGTTTTTCATCAGAACTCTAGAGTTCTCTTCCTGAACTTTAGCGTTGTGGATTAGGATCTCGATGACTCGAGACAGAGCGTCTTTGACCGTGAGGTCTGGAATCCTGCTTGTGAGTTCGCTGGCCTCCTCTGCCAGCATGTCAACGACATCCCTGCGCTGTCGTTTATTGGTTTTCGGTTTCACCGGTTCATCCAGACTAATCAATGGGGTCTTCGGTGTGAACAGCGGTTTCTTCTTGTCTGAAACAAGGACAGGGGGGGTTTGGGCCGAAGCCAATTTGACCCTCAAGGGGTTTGCTACTGTTTTTGGGACGCTCATCGTGGGGGGGATGATCCACGATGGGGAGGAGGCGTCTTCCTTCGCTGCGAAGGGGTTGGAGGAGGGGGGGAGGGGGGGATGAGGAGGAGGGGGGCGAGGATGAGGAGGAGGGGGTGATTGATGTTGAGGATGAGGGGAGCGAGTCCACCTTCATCCTGGTTGATGTTGTAGTGCCTAGGGGGGGAACAAGAGGAGCTGATGAGGAGCGGGTAGTGGGGGAGGGGTTTTGGGACTTCCCCATCGTGACAGGTCCGCTGGAGGGGCCTGTTTCGCTTGTATTTCCTCGAATTGCTGAAAACACCGGGAAAGTCCAGGTGGTTCTTTTTGCTGCTAAGCCCAGTAAATTGGCCGTAGTCGATTATGTAGTATAGCGAGAAAAGCAGATCGAAATGTCGGGTAGTCTTCGAGAGCCAAAAAATTTTTTAGACTTCTCGATTTGAGCGTGTTTTCAGTTTCTCCCTTGCGGGGCGGGTTCTGGTTGTTCACATCATGTAAATAAAAAGTGTAGGCACACATTGCATATACTCTGTACTATCTGTACTATGTACTATCTAAGCTAGATGAGATGTATCTATATGATTAAAAAAAGGGGTACTTGTGATCAAAATTGTTGCACCTATGGCTGTGAGCTGGAGCTTTGACGGTTGGGGTTTCCTTGGCACTGTCTTTCATGGTTCTGGATGGCATACTTGCTGTAGTGGTTGACGCAGTATGAGCACTTTATGTAGTCCGCTGTCTTCAGAGGGTCGATGCACAGGTGCCTTGAGAAGCCTCTGCTGTTCAGCTTGCGGTGGCAGATCGTACAGTCCACCAGAAGTTCTTCTTCTGGTCCGAGGCTGTGGTTCTTCATTCGATGAAGGTTCCTCGTTGTCGGATTTCTGATCTGGACGGGTGGGTCACAAAAGTGACACCACATCCGTTGCTCCTGAAGGTCACTAATGACCTTCTGCCGCTCGCGGATCTGTTGTTGTGTTGGGGCAAGGTAAATCTCCGTTCCCAAGATGTTGGCAGAGATCTTCGACTGCGGTATCTTCCGAACGACCTTCTTCTTTTTCGTTTCGCGTGTCGTAAGGTCGATCGGAAGGGTTCCAGCGTCCTGATTACTACTTTCAGACTCGGTGGCCTGGGCCTCCTCCTCTGAGAGTTCGAAATCAGTGCCATTCCAAATGGCCTCTGCCGCACCGAGCGCTGCAGCTGCACTGAGATTGGTGTTGTCAAGAATCGCCTCCATCAGTGCATTCTGTAGCCTCCTAGCTTGATCACTGTCAAACTTCACAACGTGTCTGCCCGTGGTGACATGGGTGGCCACCATGGCTTGAAGCACGTTGATCATTGGTTTGGTAGCAATCCTGATTGAGTTCGTGCGGCAGACACGCTTGACCGTGTCCGAAGCTTGCTTCGCTTTCTTGACCCGGCTTGCTGCTTCCTCCTCCCAGGTGAGGTTCGTCGTCAAGATGACTCCGAGCCACTCCACTGGGTGAGGTGCCCCATCCACATCAAACTGTTGTGTGGCTTCTTTCTGGTCGTTGAGGATCAGGTTTGCTTCTAGAAGCGCTTCCTTGATCGCTCTCTTGACTACTTGTGTTTCGATCTTCGTTTTCCCAATGATAATCAGGTCATCCGCATAGGAAATGAGCGCATGTTTACCATTGGGGAGTATTTCTTCGACTTTCTCGTGCACTTCAGCCATCACGAGGTTCCACAAGATTCCACTCAGAGTGCAGCCTTGTCGAATTCCATTCGTGTGGTTGAAGGGACGAGCAGCCTTTCCATTAAGCTCCACGAAGACCTCACACCCGTCATATTGTGCAATGATGAGTTCGGCTTCATTCCGGGGAAGTCCCCATCTGTGAAGCGCGCGCTCAAGTGCGACCCTCGAGACTCTGTCAAACGCCTTAGACATGTCTAAAAACGTGACAGAACACTTCCCCCTTGAGGCAACCTGGCTTACAAGTTCTCCCAAGGCTGTCCAGTGTGATCTCCCTGACCGGTACGCGTGTTGAGCGTCATGAACTACCATCTCGTAGGTGAACTTGTTTCTTTCAGCTAGGATTCTGTTAAGAATCTTCGCTGATGTCGCAAGACACGTTACGGGACGGGCTCCTTGCGGAGTCGTTCTTGGGTTCTTTTTGAGGATTGGTTTCACCCGCATGTCCTTCCATTCGCGCGGTACCGTTTCCGGAGTGTTCCAGAGAGCTTTGAATAGATCTGTATAGATATTCGCAGCTTCTGAAGACTCCTTCACCAGGGTCGCTTGTATCTTGTCCCTCCCCAGCGCGGTGTCTTTCTTAATCTCCTTCACCGCGATCTCTACTTCTTCAAGTGTTGGGGGTTGAGACCGGATACTGTTGGCGGTGTAGTGAACCGTGTAAGGGTCCGCCTCACTCCAGACAGTCCTGAGATAACTTGCACAGCTTTCTACTGCTTCCTCCGGGCCAAGTGGGTTGTCTTGGTCGTCAGTGATTGTCAGCGGTTGGCGTGTGCTCATCTCGTCGTCGTGCAGCGCTTTCCAGAACCGGCGTAGTGGGTTCTCGTCATTGCCATTCTGTTGTTGTTGTGGTAGTTGTTTGAGTCTTTGCTTTGCAGCATCCCACAGATATTCCATCGAGCTTCTGGGGAGCTGAGGCTTATGGTATGGGCGACCCTTGTTTCTGTCGATATCGCAAAGTATCACCTTTGTGATAAGGACCGCATGGTCAGATAGGTTGTCTTCCCAATCCAAAAAGCTCTCAGCTGTGAAATCCCCTCTCGACTGCACCAGGCATCGGTCCAGTGTTCTCGTCGGCCGAGTTGATCTTGCTGATTTCCATGTTGGAGGAGACGGGACGATCTTGAGGTTGCTGAGCTGTATTGCCTCTTGCAACCTCTCGTAGTTGGACGGGCCGTCTTCTCGCTTCCCGCCGATCTGCTTCTCGTGTCCCGCGTTCAAGTCACCGATGAAGATCGTAGCAGCGTGTTGCTGCGTTGATGCTTCAACGATGGCCTTGATCTCGCTCCAAAACTTGATCTTCTCGTATCCAGGTGCTTGCTCAGTCGGTCCATAGCCACCAACAACGTTCACACCATTTGGAAGAAGGATTTGGAGAATGCGAGTCTTTTGTAGTTGTGGGCCGTCAACCTTATCGGATTCAAACACTACAGCTACTCCAGAACTTGCATCTCCTTGTCCAACAACCATGAATGGTTTTCCTTTTCCTACTAGTGGTCTATGGACCGTCTGACTCGTCTCCGTGAGGATAGCCAAGTCGACAGAATGCTTTTCGATAAGCTTTCGCACTTTCGCGGACTTTGCGTCGTTGAAGTGACGAACGTTTATTGTAGCAACTGTGACATTGGCTGGTCGTCTTGGTTTGAGGGTGATGCACGTTTTACGGTGCTCATCTTCCTCTCCTTGATGACCTTCTGGAGTTCGGCTTCTATCTCCGGTTTCCCTTTTGATAGAAGCTGGATTCCAGCCTCGATCGTCGCTTGGATGTACCTTGCTCCGATCATCGTTCTTTCGAACTTGAGCATCTGGATACGAGTCTTGATCTGCTTCAGCAGGGACTCGTCGGTGAGCTTCTCCTTCTTCCCATCCCGTCTCGCGTACGGGTTGGGATCCTCCGGTGTTCTGTCCACCGTTGCAAAGAAAGCCCTCGTTTGTTGTTCCTGTTCGAGGGGGACCACAATCTCCACCGTATTGTGGTACGGGAAGAGGATTGTGATCGGGACGATCTGTTTCTCCTTGAGAATCGTCCTCCATTCTGTTGCATTCACCTTGGTTCTTGCTGCCATGCGACTGAATCGCAGGACAGCAATCTTGTGGTGCTGTGGTGGCTGAGGGTTCACTGTCAGCTTCTTTGTGAGAACTTTTGACGCAAGGGTCACCGGTTGTACTTCTTGCACTTCTTCCTGGGGAGGAAGTTGCGCAATCTCGATGGTGTCCGCCTTGCGTCCCACTGGTTTTCTGGCGGCAACCTGGCTGTAGGAGAGCTTTGTTGGTGCCGCCTTGGAGTTTACCGGTGTCGTCGCTGGATGGAATTGTAGTGGTTGTGGTTGCTTTTGTTGTTTTGGTTGTGGTTGCTGTCGTTGCGGTTGTTGTTGTTGTGGTTGTTGTCGTTGTGGTTGTTGTGGTTGTGGTTGTTGTAGTTGCTCTGGTTGTTGTGGTGCAGTTCTTTCAAGCAGTGTCTTTAAGGCTCTGTTGTTTTCCATCAGAACTCTAGAGTTCTCTTCCTGAACTTTAGCGTTGTGGATTAGGATCTCGATGACTCGAGACAGAGCGTCTTTGACCGTGAGGTCTGGAATCCTGCTTGTGAGTTCGCTGGCCTCCTCTGCCAGCATGTCAACGACATCCCTGCGCTGTCGTTTATTGGTTTTCGGTTTCACCGGTTCATCCAGACTAATCAATGGGGTCTTCGGTGTGAACAGCGGTTTCTTCTTGTCTGAAACAAGGACAGGGGGGGTTTGGGCCGAAGCCAATTTGACCCTCAAGGGGTTTGCTACTGTTTTTGGGACGCTCATCGTGGGGGGGATGATCCACGATGGGGAGGAGGCGTCTTCCTTCGCTGCGAAGGGGTTGGAGGAGGGGGGAGGGGGGGGATGAGGAGGAGGGGGGCGAGGATGAGGAGGAGGGGGTGGTTGATGTTGAGGAGGGGGTGATTGATGTTGAGGATGAGGGGAGCGAGTCCACCTTCATCCTGGTTGATGTTGTAGTGCCTAGGGGGGGGAACAAGAGGAGCTGATGAGGAGCGGGTAGTGGGGGAGGGGTTTTGGGACTTCCCCATCGTGACAGGTCCGCTGGAGGGGCCTGTTTCGCTTGTATTTCCTCGAATTGCTGAAAACACCGGGAAAGTCCAGGTGGTTCTTTTTGCTGCTAAGCCCAGTAAATTGGCCGTAGTCGATTATGTAGTATAGCAGAAAAGCAGATCGAAATGTCGGGTAGTCTTCGAGAGCCAAAAAAATTTTTTAGACTTCTCGATTTGAGCGTGTCATCCTTGCGCAGGGGCCATGCTAATCTTCTCTGTATCGTTCCAATTTTAGCGAATGGCACCAACCCGGAGGCTGGGCCAATAGATGATGGATATCAGGGAGACTTGAAAGAAGGCCAGCTCCACGCAGAATCGATTGTAATGTTTTTTATGTTACATGCAGATGAAAAGGTTCACTCCACGACTCTTAACTGCTCCAATGCTCTCCGATTGAACTTCAGAAATCTGTCCACAGGTTTTCTGGTTTTCTTCATTGCTGTATTTTTGGTCCTCAACGCGCTGCCTTCATCGTTCTGATCTAAGGGGGGTTGCATGCACTGTGCAGATAACTATTGCTTCAATGACGTTTTATTATGTCTTTCGGTGTCAGCTCTGTCCTTCGTAAAATTGTTGTTTGATTTCTGAAGCGTTTTAGATGCTCCCATTAAAGGTCTTCATTCATGATGGCACCCAGAAATTTCACTAGGAGATTAAGATGTCTTCCTGACTCCGCATTCCAGAGGGATCGAGTCCTTCGTGGATTTGCGATATTGAGGATTCGCCTTCTTTTTGTGCGGAATCAGTGCTGAGTGCTGTGGTGCTTGGTTCTGTTTTGGTTCTTTTTTTCTACTTGGAGTGGCGGCGGTGTGTGAAAGTGCAGCTTTTGCCTAGTGGTCAGAAGAGCAAGGTCACAACAAGCATAACTGAACCCCTTCCCTATAGCAATGCCACGACAAGCATAAAAAAAGGACCCCTACCCTATAGCAAGGCCAAGGCAAGCATCTCGTTGCCAATCTCTAAAGCCTTTTGCAACCGAATTTTTATATTTCCGTCATACCATGGCTTAGTAAAATCTGTCCTGAACCAGATCGTTCGAGCTGTGACTGAAGATGTCGCTACAAAAACGTGTAAGCAAAGAACAACTGAATTATTGAACTGGGTCGCGTTTGCACGGTGGTTGTTGTTTCGTTCCCAGAATCCGGTTGATCGTCAACTGACTGTGGAAGAAATCCGATCCCGTTTAAATTCGAATGTCCCATTGAGACCTTCCAGTGGTAAGGAATTCCGGGATATATATTGATAAGATAATCAACAAAGACCGCATCTGTATGAACAACCTGTTCCTAGATGTGAGTGCGACACATCAGATTTCAAAATTTCCCAAGAATGACGAGTGCGTGTTATCCAACGCGGTGATAAATGGATCCACTCCTGAACACACGCTATTGCAATTAGCGGAGGCGATGCTTGGTAAGTTAAGCGGCACGGTGTATCGCATGAAGCAACATATACAGATGTGAACCATGCGATATATCTTTCCAAACCGAATGGATGTCCGTCACCATTTATAAACTGTATTTTGAAACAAGTACTTAAGTGGGACTGAGGAGTTGCTTTGTTTTTCTTAGGATATTGTCAGCTGCTTGTTGAATCCCAGAGAAGATCAATGAATGAAACTTTGAGATTCCGCGAAACTGTCAAACATTTAAAGACTATTTTTGACGATGGGAATGCGCGGGAGAGACGCCATATTGACACAGTAGGTGAAAATCACCAACTCGTTTTTCCGATTGAAATAGATAATGTTTTTGTTAATCAGTTGACTCATTTTCCCAAAGTGCTGAAGCACTTGGATTCACAATATTACCTGTTGAAAGATAAAGCAAAAGTTCTGATCAAAGAATGTCAAGAGGATCGAGAGAAATATCAGCAGGACTGTGAAAACGTCTCGGTTCGACTTCAGGTTGGTGACGCCCTTTGCCAATGGGCAGTTGCTTGTTGTGTCAGTGCCAGATGATCATTTCCATCCTTTGTCTTCTTTTGTTTTCAGGACTTAGAAGCGGAGTTGTTCTCGACGCAATCCATTTGCCATCAGCAAACTACTGAAATCGAACATCTTCAAGAAGCAACGCGAAATTTGAAGTCTCAATCTGAAGTACGATTAATATTAATGGAAAGATCCAGTCATCACAAATAGACGTCCAATAGAATCAATTGTCTTATTTGAGTTGTGCGGACTTGAAAAGCAACATGATCTGCAGAGTCTCCATCTCATGTATTTCTGAATGACTAAACGCGTTCCATTCTCAGAGTTTCTGAATTCTATAGGTAACGCAGCTTCGGGAGAGTCTTCGGAAATTGGATCAACAAAATTCGGAAATCGAGAAGGAGAACAAGGCGTGAGTTAAATCGCAAAAAATTTAAAAAAAAGTCGCAAAAATGTTGAATATCGATTACTAGAGTTCAAGATCAAGTTTTGGAACTACAAGATGCTTATGAAAAAGTAGGTTTATCCGCGTCCCAATAGATGACTGCGATTCAATGTCCGTCAGCTGTTAGCTGATGGGTAAGACAATCGTTCCGATGCTTGTTTCTTGAAGCCCTCGCTTTTCTTGGATCAGTTCTGCAGATATCGGTGGGATTCATCACATGCATGCATATCACAGAATATATCATCTTAGATGCGTTGCGGTGTCGATCGCAATCAACGGAGACCATTTCACAGAGAGATCGTTTGAAAGTGAAAGAATTGAGAGATGTAAGAAATGGGGATAATCGCTGGCCACCAAGAAGTGCACCAATTAAATCAACTTGCCCGTCTGCCTCAGACTGTCAACAGCCTCAGAGCTCAAAAGGAGGCTGAAAGTGGGTGGGACTGACCATCGCGAGTGCATTTCTTTTTGTTCCTAGAAATCCAGTTCGACGAAGAAATTGCGAAACGAAGGGAACAAAATGAAGCTTCGAAAGCGGTATGAACTTCGATGTCATCACTCATCCTCAAATGAGGTTTGCAGGAGGCCCAGCGCCTTCTCAGTCTCATTGAAAATGCTTGAAGTTCTTGTACATCGCGTTTTATGTGCAATAAAATTGAATTCAAAGCCCAACGACAGGATGTAGTGCAGAAAATATTCTAGATTCCAGAAAATGAACCTTTTAAATTGGAAGGCCGAAGTTCACGCAAGACCCGCCCGTGACTAATTGAAGCAAACACGCCGCTCTGGCGTTCTGTTTTGCACGCAGAAGAGAACCCCAATGCGTCTCTGAACTTTTCTCTTTCGATTCCCAATCTTCAATCCATGTAGACAACCATTTGAAAGTGAGACGATCGAGATCGAGATCAGTAACGTGCCAAATCAACCCGAGAACGGCTGGACTGAAATTCAGATACAATCGATAGGCAGAATAATCGATAGTAGCTCACCACCCCGCAATCAGAAAGTCCATAGCAAGTGAATGCACTTCTTCATTGTCACCAAACTCGTATGACGGACGAATAGAACCGCAGCCCAACAACATCGCGATAGCCTTCATTTCACTCTAAGGATAATCAGTGAGGGAATTGAGGCAATCAGTGAGAGTATTGAGACAATCAGTGAGAGTATTGAGACAATCAGTGAGAGTATTGAGACAATCAGTGAGAGTATTGAGACAATCAGTGAGAGGAATGAGACAGTGAGAGGAATGACACAATCAGTGAGAGGAATGAGACTGGGTTGAACTCTTACGCCTCTCAAAGCGGAGCGGTCAACAAATCCAACTTGTACCGTTTCGGAACCAATTTGTCCTACAAGTAAGATAAATAGAAAGCAAATTGTTTTATTGTATATTTGTTGACCCATACCTCCTCCATGTCCGCAATAGACGTATACATCTGAAACAGTCCACTGGTAAAGCGTTTCTCGGGCTGAAGAACAATAAAATAATGTAATCCAACAGAAATACACAGTTCTAAAATTAGAACTTTTGCGACGATCGATGAGGTTTCGACTAGATGGGACTCAAACCAGCAGCCTCTGCCTTTGGAGGGCAGTGCCACTAGTGCGTTAATTTAATATAGAAAAATGATAGAGATGGGCGACCTACAGTCTGGTTGCTCTTCAAAAAACCCCTTGAATGAAGAAGACTCGAGAATTGGTAAAGGAATCGTGCTCTTCGACGTCGAAAGATCGCCACTGGGGTTAACAATGAAGAAGAAGTTGGCTTGAATGGGATCTGGAAGAAAGCATGCCAACAAACCAGCCATGTGATTCGTCATGTGGTAACTTCCCACGACTTAAACACACTCAGATTTTTAGAATTCCATTGGCGAAAAATTGAAGCAAACATTTTCATATCCACACCGATCGTGATATTTTGATTCGCCAGAAATGGAAGTGAGTCCCAAGGGATTTCATAACTCAGCAGATCACAATTGGATACAAACAAAATGACTGGAAAATACTTGATAGAAGCGGCATCAATTGTTGCTGTTTTTGATTTTCCTTTTCTTTTCGGTCTGGGAAGAATTTCCGAGCATCTCGATTTCAGAATTCCCGCTATGCTGCTGACAGGACCGCTGAAAAATGAATCCCGCAGGATCTTACCATTTTCTTCGAAAGACTCCAATGAGTGTGAGCACGACGTAACGATCTGTCCCAAACACGCGATAATGGGATCCTCAATTGCTGATGATCCCATAACCTCTATCGATGAAGCTGTTAGCGTCAATACAACCAAACGCAGTATCAAATCGGAAGAATTCAGTTGAATCAAACATCCCCCCTTCTTCATTTT